TCCGTCTCATACCTTGCTGCATAATTGATGACAAACAAGAAGATTTGCATGTTGCTTTTACGTATCCTTACAAGTTACATGTACAACCTGGATATTCACATCTTTCGGGGCAGAAATCCAGAATTAGAAAACAGTTACACCTACCTGGGTGTAGCACCAATTCTCGGCCACGGGACAAGACATCTCAGCTGGAGGGGGACTGGGAGCCCGTGAGGTCGCCAGCTTGGTACCTCAGTCAATCCAACACTCCGTTCAGAAGGGAAAAAAGGGAAAAAAAATGATGTGTGTGTGCGTGTATATCCAGTCAATCTGCAGGGACCACAGAGAACAGAAAAATAGATTTGCTGAGTACGATAACTGGAATATTGAATTTCACTGGGCCCCGGCTACGTGGATGGAACTCATTATGTTTGGTTCCCCGAGGCTGAACTGCATTTTATGACTGAATCTGACCAGGGCTGCGTTTAAAGAGCCATGCTGCTGTGTGGTTTGAATGACTACCCTTTCACACCATTGTCGGGGGTTTCAAGTATCCGCATTCACCTCTGTATGCATTGGTGCACTGCTACTGCTGCTTTGCAGTAAATGTGGCCCATATACATGAAGAGCAACATTTGCAGACACCAACCACAAGAAATGTACCGTCTATGTACTGTCTGAGTTCTGCTTTAAATGGGCACACGTTAACTGACTGTTTCCAGTGCAATACTGAAAAAAGTGACTACAATTTGAGCTAGACAAGTCCATAATATTAATATCCAAAATGTCTAGGCAGAATTTTCTTTGTTATGGGTAGTCTAAATGTACTTGACTGAACAATCAGTCCTAAACCAGAAGAGCGGGTACATGTACAATCAGTCCTAAACCAGAAGAGCGGGTACATGTACAATCAGTCCTAAACCAGAAGAGCGGGTACATGTACATGTACATGTTCCATACCGGGGTACATGTATGTAAATGTGTAAAGAACAATGTTCGCAAGTACATGTACATGTAAAACCTCAAAAATGCGTTCACATACATGTACATGTCATGTATGCGCATGCACACTTACATTGTACATGAACATGTACAATGTATATTTACAAGTATGCAAGTCATGAAATTGTAATGTTATTACTCTCCTTGCACATACAGACCTGTATGTACATGTACATGTAGTCTTTTTTTCTATGTACTTAAGAAATTAACATGAAACATGCTGCTTGTGTTCAGAAGCTCTGTATACCGATACATGTACGCGTATGAAAATAAATTTGTAATTCACTATGATAAATTGATCTTGTGGATGGCACTAAATGGACTCCCACGGCATCTGAAGTGACCCATGCATGAGTTTACTCATCAGGCTCTACCCAGAGTTTCATTATCACCATCTTTTCGGAGAGAGTGTTAATGAATTAGCCTCTGTTTCATCTGTGACATATCCCGAGTTCCTCAAAATCTCGACCCGAGTTGAAAAAAAAAGGAAACTACAGAAACACAAAAATTCAGTGGAGTCCTTACTTTTTGCTTATTTTAATTATCGATACTGTCCTGTCACTGGACTCAGTAGGTGTTAATGATAGCATGGTCACCCTCCGGTTAGCACCCCCTGTATCTCAGAGGATGCTGCGGACCACTGGCTTGGCTTCGTGTCTAAGGCTCATCGTCAAGTCCCCTTCTCCTTGCAAATTGCCTAGTGATTTATGGCACTTTCATTTATACCCGGCATCTTAGAAATCCTGGGCTCTGGTGCCTCCGACAGATCAGATCCACAAATAACCGGGAGCTACATGTACATGTATGTATGCAAGATGCATGGGAAAAGGACTGATGAGGGGGATGGGTGTTTTCACCCTGGCTTGCTCTCAGCCAGTGGTCCGAAATAAAGTGCATGTTCCCTGTACATGCAGCATGACTGGTGAAAATTTAAAGTCTCTTAAGTTATACAGTGCAGGTAGCAGGGAAGTGGTGCAGCGGTGATACTGTTTTAAAAAGAATCAATGCATCAACATTAAATTTCAATCAGACCCTGTGTGGAAACAATTACCGGTATTTATTATCTGGTCATCCATCAGCACATTCAGCACCAATTACAGAGTGAAGTGGCATTTAGGAAGAAAATGAATAAATTTTCAGTTTATAGAGTTGGGAGGAAAATGACCCACAAACATTCCAGGGAAAACCCACAGAATCAGGCAGGGACTGAAAACCCAATCCACATGCTGACCCACATGTACAATGTACATGTACAGTGTAGGTGGGATTTGAATCCGGGTTGCAAGGGTGGAAGGTGAGGAAAGAGTCACTACACAAACATGACTCCCTACATGTATAAAGTACACGCATGTTCATCATTTTACATGTATATCAGCATTGTAGATCGCTTTGCACACACGCACACTTGAAATTAATGACCAGTGCCATGCATCAGAGTATGTATAATATACATGTACATGTACATGTACAAGTAGGCCTACATGTACATGTACAAAAAATTGCACCTGTGTGTACATACCTGTGTACGTATGATGCACATGTACATGTGGGCCTACATGTACATGTACAAAAAATTGCACCTGTGTGTACGTACATGTACAGACTTTTACATGCACTGGTACATGTACAATGTATGCACACATGTATCGACAGAAATGGTTGAATAAAAATTTTACCTATCACAGAAATTTAATTAGTTTACATGACGTACAATGCACCAGCATACTGGATTAACCTAATACACATACATGTAATTTGGCCACTAGTACATGTACCAGTACGGGTACATGTGCCTATGTACATTACATTACATGTAGGCCTACATGTAAGGTATGCATTACAAAAAAATACAATGTAGGCCTAGTATTAAATACATACATGTTTTGTCCAAGCAGACAAGTACTGTGTAGTAAAAAGAACAGTAAGGAAGTTGGCTTCAAAATGATACAGTACATGTATGTAGTTTGGGGTGCAATGTACATGTATGTATGTACACACAATTACAAATGCACCTGCTGTACAATGTACATGTACGTGCTGTAGATAAAATACTAGGGTTTTACCATACTCGTACATGTAGATATATGATACATGTATAAACTTTTCCTGTTGGCTTTAATGACAAAGTTTTCTAAGCTACAGGTATGTACAGAGACATAAGGTACCTTCATACGTGTACATGTACAGTACATGTACATGTTCATGTATCCGGTGTGCATGTGGGAGAACAAAGTGCCAGGAGAATTCCCCTGTGCTTAAAGAGAATTGATTGAAATGCAAGTAGGGGGGGTACCATATAAAGTACATGTACACTGGCTTACAATAAAGTACAATGCACTGAAATTGGCAAGGCTAATGTATGCAGACGTGCACTGTACATGGATACACCAGCCCTACTGGTACATGTACATGTATCAATGTTTATCTGATCATGTTAGTAACATGAACTCATGGGATTATGAAAAAAAGAGAGACAATTTACAACTTTTTACAAGTGATTACACAGTAGTAAATGTATTCAGTATCTGATTTAAAATAGATTGTAAAAGTTTCATCATACCGTGTCATACATGTACATCATAGAACCAGTGCTTGTCCATGTACAACATGTACTGTACATGTAGGTACCGATACTTTTAAGTACAATGTACATGTACATGCACACTGGCATTTTACTAGAAACGACAGGGTACATACAAGTGTATGTACATGTAATATTCAAGTTTGGCAAGTGTTGCTCCAGTTAGCATTCATGTGGTTTGCTGTGTACATGTATCTGTCTGCACACATGGTAAAGACACATTGCGAAAAGCTCTGTACCGTACATGCGTATCTGTCTGTGTAAATCCTGCACAGTTTGTATGTGTGAGTGTCACACTACAGACCGTACATGAACATGTACATGTCGGAGTGTTCAGATGGTAGGTCTACTGTATGTACATGCAGGCGTACATGTACGATAACATGTCATGTAGGGAATACCACAGCACATTCATTAATGTGAGCATTTGACAAGTCGTGTGTACTACATGTACATGGTATATGTCATTACAGAGTAGTACATGTACATGCATATATATATGTATGGATGTACATTGATCATGTACATATCACATGTATGTACCAAAATTATATGCAATATTATTTGTTCATGTACACATAAATGTACACATCCATGTGCATGTGGACAAACACTTTCAACTACATGTAGTTTAGTGTTACACGTACAGTATGTACATGTACACATACTGTATGTAAATGAACCACAGATTTAAAGGAACCAGGAAATGAATTTTTCTTAGAATCACTTTTTGTGTATCTCTGTACTCTTCTTCCATGTATGAAGACTGTTTGACATCTTTTTTGAGTTAAGTGAACTGAACGGTGCACTTTTTCAAACATTAAAAATTGAACAAGCATTTCTGGACAAGTGAGGGAGCTTTTGCTTTGATGTAAATTCAGGAAGACATGGTTCAAGTTGCATGTTTTCTGTCCAAATTGTGAATCCCAAATTTGCTATCTGGGAACATTTCTGTGAAAAGAAATTTTGCTGGATTAATGCCATATACTTACACAGCAATAAATTGCCACAGAAAATAAAATCTACAATAGCAGTGGTTAAAAAAATCTAGAAATTTTCTGTGCACAAATCAATGCAACATTGAGATTCAGTGCCTTGGATGACATCATAGTTCTGCTCATGAATATGCAAGTAACATTAGCATAAAACAAAAAAGCATAAAAATATGCGTTAAAATTGCAAAACAAACATTTAAAATCAGGTTAATTGAAACCCAAAGATACAATTTCAAGGCTAAGTAAAATTAACGAAATTATTTCTATTTCCTGGTTACTTTAATGACCTAAACGTTAGCACTATGCTCTTGCAAGTGCACTGGCTACAATAAATCATGGAGCTACATGTACATGTACATACATGAACATGAATGTATCAGAACACAGTAAATGATGTGGTACTGGTATTATGGTACTGGTAATGGCACTGGAAAATAAACTACATGTAGACACACTCACACACAACCCTGATTCTGCTACAGTAGTCAGGCAGTAATAATGACCTTACCGTACAATGAAAACTGGGTCAGGCACCCTATATAAAAAAGGTCTACTAAACTAAACGTTCATGAATACACTGTACCTTCGGGGCAGTCAGTACACTGCTGTTTTACCCAAACGTTTCTCTCAAAACCAAAAGCCCTGTTCTCTTTTCTTTCTGATACAGTATGTAAGAGGACATCACCAACAACTTGTAACTTAAGTTACTTCAAAAACATAGCATTTGTTCCCTTGTGATAGGAACAGGGTGC